AGCATCATTGAATGACGAACCTAGATAGAACTCATGAAGGCCAGGGTTGGCTTGTGAAAGAAGTTGTGAATTTATATATGGCCTAGTAAGAAGGTTTTGGAAATTCTCAAAACTGAAGGAATCGTCGGAATGAGTTTGTGAAGTCGCCATTTGATACAAAGTACAGACGTTGTGAAGGTTTCTTGAGAAGCATAGTAAGGAAGCAAGACGATGAACAGTGGCCTTTATAGAACCCATGATGTAAAGACGTGAAGGTAATGGCACGACGAAGTGGCGTGTCTATTGGGTTTATAGGGATTTGTAATGTTACACCTTTTTAGGCTATAGAAGGGTTACTGCCAAACTGAAATAATGATTGAAATTCTTGGAAATTTCCAATATTGTCGAAAAATACAAGGGAAGAATATGGCAATGATTAATAATTGATATTAATTCTGCCATATTGGGGGGTAATTGTTGACATACAAAAAGTGTAGCCCAAATTGAATAGTCCAAAGAACGAAACACAATTAGGAAATCCAGGATGAAAGTCCAAATATGACCATTAATGAATGCAGTGGAGGCCCATGCACAAAGTAACATTATCGCTCAAGCTGCGAGTCGCCCAGGATCTGAGCGAATAGAGTGTCTTACGGTCGCCCAGAGCGATAATCCTGTTCTTATTCAAACCTTCGAGTCGCTCAAGATTTGAGCGAATATAATGTATTATGGTTATCCGGTACAACAGTTATTGAAACTGTTATTGAGTAACCTTATCACACCCCACGATCCAAGAATCTCGGTTGTAGACAGTTAAACGACAAGAGTAATGACAATAGTTAAAGATGGGAGTTTCATGACAAGTCAGTCATCGTGAAGAAAGTGGGTAGTTATAAAACACCAAGCAATTTTCAAGCAGTTTTTTACAAAGAGACTATCAATGGAGTATAAAAAGAAAAAAAAAGACATAGACAAAGTGACCCTGAATCAAATACTCTCAACAGAGAATATGTAATTTAAATTTCTTAAGTTTAACTTTAAAACATTTCTTTTTAGCACTCGTGTGCTTGCGCCCCTTGGAGGCATTTTGTTTATTTTCAATTGTAATTTTCATCAATAAAGCACCCATTTATTAAGACTTTGTCTCAAGAGATTTTTTCCTCACACAATTGTCTGAACCTTTTTTAATTGTTAGCGATAAGCCGCGTGAAACAGACATAATTATCTGCAACAACAAAAGGTCGTGTGAAATGTTACTCGAAGACAAAGTTAGGTTGCAACAATTAATGGCACTTGGTCTAGATGTGATGCGGAACATTTAAAAGAGAAGATCATAGACTAGTTAAAAAAGAGGAAAATAAGAAGGGTTTACGAAAATGGGCGAAATTTTTAGCTTGGACGTCGAATTTTCGTGAGCGAGTACAATTCCAAAGCAAACTCTCGAGGTCAAATTCTATTGGGTTTCATTTTAATTTTTTTTTTTGTTTTGAATCAATTTAAGGATATTTTCATCATTTTTAGTTTTATTTAGATTTGTCTATGGATACAAACGTTTTGAGTTAGTGACACTATTAAACTTACTAAAAAGTTTTGAGAAATTTTACATTGGAAAATTTACATCTGAAAAAGTCATACCCGATGTAAATTTATATCCAAATTTTACATTCGAAATTTACATGAGGTATGACTTTTTCAAATGTAAAATTTTGAAAAATTTTGACGTTATACTCCATGTAATATTTCCTAACAAAATGATGCAACGACCTCCTTTGATGAGGTGTAATATTTGTTACGATTGGTCGTTTCGCATGTCATTAATGACGTGGAAAATTAGGTCATGAGCACATCGAAATGATATTAAGAATGTAATATTTCGATTTTGTTTTGTGTTCCGTAGTGACCTAAAATAATTGTCCAAAAGTTGGAGAGTCATGTGACCCCATGCCACCCCGTGTCCGCCAGTGAATATGAGTAGCAAATCTCTAAGGTGAGACATAAAGATTACTCTTAGAGCATCTCTAAGAGTCTCTTGAAATATAATTTTAAGGACTTACTCTTTAAAATAAAGAGTATATTATGTGTTAATAATACTCACAAAGTATCTCTAAAAGACTCTTTGAACATAAGGCGTTCTCTGTTTTAAAAAGCCGTCCTTAAAAATATGCTCCAAAAACTTTTTAAATTAACGTTTTAATTTAGATAGTGAGTTTGGCTCTCCAAACCCACTCTCTATAATTAAATACATTCAAAGTATTTTAATTTTCAATGGTGGAAAATAATATAGAAATTTAAGGGAGAGTTGGTGAAAATAAAATATAGAAAACAATAAATATTTTTTGAGGGTAGAAAAATTAAGTGTTAAATATAAAGAGTTTATTGGAGTACTTAAAAAAATTACTTCTAAATTTATAGATACTCTCTAAGTTGTAGAATATACTCTTTGAAAATAAAGAGTTTCTTGGAGATGCTCTCAACCATGTGAGCATTGTAGTCTTCTCTTTTCATAATTTTTATACGTTGGCTTCATATTTGTTTTGAGAAAGAATTAAGCTACGTAAAATACGATTGTTTGAGAAAGGTTTTTCGGACATTTATGTGAAAGTACACAACCTGAAATCTCAATGATATCTTTTAGGATTCATCCTAAGTTCTCCTCTCATAATTTTTATAGGTTGGCTTCATATTTGTTTTGAAAAAGAATTAAGCTAAACGTACAGGGCTACATTGGCCATGTATGATATAGTCCCTTGTTATGGGATAACAGGGGATGTCCCCCTGTAATGTACTTAAAGCACGATTGTTTGAGAAAGGCCATTAAGACATTTATGTGAAAGTACACAACCTTAAATCTTAACGACATCTTTTAGGACTCATTCTAAGTTCTCATTTTCATATTTTTTAGGGAAGATTGTAGAAGCGATTTTTAACATTTTCAAACTTTACCCTAACATTCAATTCGTATCAACAAAGCTCTCCAACCTTTCAGAAATATGCATATAGAGTTCAAATGGATGGAAAACATCAACTTTTTTTAGTTGACCAAGAAAATGATTTTGACCATATTTTAACAATTTTTAAAGGGATAGAATGATAATTTTACATTTCCCTATTATAAATAATTAAAATATTGAATAAAAAAAATAAAAAAGAGTAAAAGGACTCTTCCCCAACCCTAACCCCTGCCGCCCCTACCTCACCCCAACAATCAAAACTAGGAAAACCCAATTCTTATCACCAGCTGCCCATCACCTCACCATTCGTCGTCGTTGTCGTTGCCACCACGAATTCATTCTTTCAAAACCTTCAATTTCACATGTTTTATCCCAAATTCGAAAACCCATTCCCAACTTTCTTCTACCATTAATTTGTTGGGAAATGTGGAGTGGTGTTGGAGCGATGTAAGGTGGTTTGAGATACGTAGGTTGAAGACGGTGATTGAGAAATGACAAAAGAGAAGTCAGCATCACTCCGAGAAGCCAAAAGAGCGTCGAGTGGTGGAGCAAGAAATGACAACCAAAGCAAAGACCCAATTTTACGCCATGCTATATTAAAGGGGTGGTGCTATATGTACATAATGTGGTGTCCATAACGGTATCAACATCCTCACATGGAGGGGGACCTACTTCGAATAAAATATAATATAGGAAAAATTGCGACCGCGGTCCCAAACCTTTCATTTTATTGCAGATTACACCCCCAACCTTTAATTTTTGCGATTGAAGTCCCAAACCTTTCATGTAATTGCAGCGTCAGTCCCAAACCTTTAATTTTTGCAACAGAAGTCCCAAATCTTTGTATGTAATTGAAGCGTAGGTCCCAAACCTTTGTATGTAATTGCAGCATCGGCCCTAAATCTTGAATTCCGTCCATAAAACCGTTAGTCAATGTTCAAACAGTATTTTTGACTCGAAAAATTTGTAGATCCGGTCCCAAATCTTTTATTTTGTTACAGATTACACCTAAACCTTTCATTTTTACGGCCAAAGTCCTAAACCTTTATATGTAATTGCAGCGTTGGTCCATTTCACGCATTCTGTCCATAAAATCGTCAGTCAACGTTGAAACAATATTTTTGACTCAAATGACAACTTAGCCTCTGTTTGACACTCATTTTGTTTGAAAAATAATTTTTGGAATGGTGATTGATGGGAAGATTGTGTGATTAAAAAGTAAGGAAAATTTTTTGATTTATCTGTAATATTATTTTATTAATAGAATGTGTGGTTGAAATGAAGAAAGAGAAATAAAATGAGAAATATATTGAGAAAAAAATGGGTGTCAAACATGGGCTTAATTGATGAGCAAAATTGTTAAAACAAGTTATGAAAAAAATGTTTATCTTCTTCAAATCCTTCAATTTTTTCACAGCCATCACATTCTCATCATCGATAACTATCAAATCAAATAACAATTTGATTCGATTTGTTATAATAATCAAATCGATAAATTATTTTTATGACATATTATTTGGACGGAATGCGTGAAATGGACCAACGCTGCAATTACACATAAAGGTATGGGACTTCGACCGCAAAAATGAAAGGTTTGGGTGTAATCTGCAATAAAATAAAAGGTTTGGGATCAGAGCTGCAATTTTTTAGAGTCAAAATTACTGTTTAAACGTTGACTAATGGTTTTATGGACGAAATTCAAAATTTGGGACCGACGCTGCAATTACATACAAAGGTTTGGGACCGACTCTGCAATTTGGGATTTCGGCTGCAAAATTAAAGATTGGGGATCAACGCTGAAATAACATAAAAGATTTGGGACCGAAGATGCAATTACATATAAAGGTTTGGAACTTCGGCTGCAAAAATGAAAGGTTTAGGTATAATCTGCAACAAAATGAAAGGTTTGGGATCGCGGTCGCAATTTTCCCTATAATATATCCAAAGTGGATCCCCCATCATGTGAGAGGGTGGACGCCGTTATAACACGACATTATCTACAAGTAGCATGTTTCATATTAAAAATAGCAACATCATCATCATTTTGCTCGAGGATGCATTTTTAGGGCAATGTGGGACTCCATCAAAGCCGCGAATTTGATGTCGTTAGTTTGCAGGATTGAGGTTGAGAGTAGTCCAGAAAATTGCTTGAAAGCATTGGCGTTGAGGAAGAGAGCTAAGGATGGAACGAGCCTTGGATGGCGATGGTGGCCGTTGACCAATGGTGGGTTTTCCTGGTTTAATTTTGAGGGGAGGGGAGGGGTGGGAGGGGGGGGGGGGGGGGGGGGAAAGTGGCCCGCGAGGGTTGGGGAAGAGTCTTTTTACTCTTTTTTTTATTTAATATTTTAATTATTTATAATAGGAAATGGAAAATTATCATTCTACCCCTTTAAAAATTGTTAAAATATGGTGAAAATCATTTTCTTGGTCAACTAACAAAAAAATAAGAGTGATGCTACAGGTACATCACATGCTACATAAGGGTGTCCATAATGGACACCCGACACCTCATTGGAGTGATGGTTGGTGGGGTCGGCACTCCATTCAATGGGAGGGCGCCGGGTGTCCATTATGGACACCCTTATGTAGCACTTGATGTACAAGAAGAATAACTCAAAAAATAAATGTTTTCCATCCATTTGGACTTCATATACATATTTATGAAATGTTAGGAATCTTTGTTGGCACAAATTGAAGGTTAGGATAAAGTTTGTAAAACTTGAAAAAGTTAGGGATTACTGCTGCAATTTTCCCTAATTTTTATAGTTTGGCTTAATAAATAGGACAATTCCACTTGTACATTGATATTAATGGAGACTGGGAATGGGGATGCATTAGAGGGCTGGGACTTGTGATGAAGCCCGTTGATTATGGTTTATGAGATTCTACCACTCATCTTTTTTTCTTTTTCTTTTTCTTTTTCTTTTTGGATAATTGACCACACTACATGACACATTTTATTAAGGACAATTCCACTTGTACATCAAGGGATACATCTCTCTCACATGGAAGGTGGGACCCATTGAAATAATGTTTTTTTTATTCGAGTGGACCCCACCTCCCATGTGAGAGAGGTGTAAACCCCGATGTAAATCTTGATGTACCACTAGCATGGTCCTAATAAATATAGGTTGTTATTGCCGTCGATTTATTGTTGTTTTTAGTGTAATTATTGTAATTCGTAGTGGTTTTTTTTATGCGAGCAATTGCAAGCATCTGCGTGTCGACTCTTATCTTGATTTCGAAAGTTAATCAGACTATTTCTTTTTTCAAATAGAGGTCAGACTCAACCTCTCCTTAAGGTCATATTTCCTTTATTTTTCAGTTAATATGTACTCAACTAATGTGATTTGATTAAAAGGAAAAATAACTGTAATATGTACTCGACTTATGTGATTCGATTAAAAGGAAAAATAAAAACTTTCATGGTGTTAACGGAACAGTTGGCGTTTATATCAATGTGATTTTATTCCAATAGTTACTAACCTTAAAAGCTTAGGATGCATTTGTTTTGTTATTTTCAAGCTATTTTTAATTTTTAATTTTGCGAAATACTGAAAATATGTTTTGTCTATTATTTTTGAAAATATATTTTTAAAAACAAGGATAAACTTATAATATAAAACTAAATATGTATTTTTGATATTTTGAGTGTTTTCTGTGAAACATTTAAATAGTTCTTTTAAAATTTCAAAAGTTCAAAAATATAAAATATAAAATTCTAAATTTAAAAAAAAATTTTAAAAAAAAATTCAATAAAAAAATAAAATTGAAAAAATAAAAAAAATAGAAATTTTGAAAAAAGAAAATCTAGAATTCCAAAAAATAAAAGTAAATTAAGCTCTTAATGATTATTTACGTAAACATTCTTAGAGAATATTTAAATAAAAATATTCTCATTTCAAGTCATTAATTTTTATTTTTATTTCTTATATTTTAAGCTCAATTTATTTTTTATTTTTATTTTACTTTAGTAGCGAGAAAAATATTGTAAGATTCATATATTACTTAATAATATATTAACATAAAAATTTTCTATTTTTACTGAATAATTATATTTCATGAAATAAAATGTCATATTTTTTTTAAAATTTCAACCTAAATGTATTTTCTAATTTTTTATTTTGAGAAAAAAAATTTCGAGTTGATAAATCAAACTTATTTTTAACGATCTTAATATAAACTCTCAAAAAAAAAAAAAAAAAAAAAAAAAAAAAAAAAAAAAAAATAAAAATAAAAAAACACAATAAAAAAAAAAAAAAA